ATGTATAATAAAAGTTTCATTATCACCAACGATTAGCAATTTTAAAATACAATTTTTGAAACGTCAGACCTTTAAGCTTAAAAATAGTTTAACTGGTTGCATAGGGACAATTTGTCTAAGATTGCCTTCAAATTGTTTTGGTGGAAAAGTTGAAATAAAAAAATGAGAAAAAAAATATTTTTTTTCTCAAAAGGATTCGAAATTATACTGAAGCTACCTACTTGTTTCCAAAAACTCGAAAAAAAAATAAAACCATGTACTTCCAAATATTGGTTCAAATGCAAAAAATAAGAAGAAAAAATCCAAAATCTAATAAAAATAACCAGTTGCTTTGCAAGTATTGCAGAATGTTTCGACCACGTTCTTAGAAAAACTACAAAAAAACTTTTCGCTTGAAGTTTCAGCGTCAGTTTTTGTGCGTGGTGTGACTAAATAATTTCACAGACTCGCTATCCATAAATTTCCATAGAATTTTGATTGGTTTTGAGGTTTGCTACGACATTTACCTACTTCAGTACTACTTCTTAAGCGTAAAGCATGGTTAACTTGCGGAGCGGTGGTGAAGTTGCAAAATATCCGCCGCTCATTTGAAAGTTCGGTAGCGCGAGACTCACTATGTCCGATGCTGGATGCTTGTTGGAAACATAGCCAACAAAGATCTTGAATAAGGAACGCACTAACTGCAGTTATTTGAAAAACGCTGAGTAGTTGGCATATCGTTTCTTTCGCTCGTGCATAAATCGCCCCAACTAATTGCAATATCATAATATTTTGAAATACAGTCCTATCTAATCAATTCAACGGCAATAATAAAAAGTTGAAACATTTTTGCTCCTATATGGACGGTTCTAGGATTTTCAAAAGTTTTGAATACATTTTTAGTCCAACCAAAAAATGATGTTGCAGCTCTTTTAAAGCACACATAACTTCAGGCTAACTTCAGAGTAATTTCACATACATTCAAGACCTGTTTCTGATTTGAGGACTGTTACAGCTTTTACAGGACTGTTTCAGATTTTGATTTCAGAATAACTTCATAATTGAAACAGGTCTGAAGCATTTCTGAACAAGAGAAATTTTCCGTTCTGAAACTATCCTGAAGATCACCTAGTTCAGACCTTATGTTTAAACCGCAGTAAACTCCTCCGCCCCCTCTGCGCACCAGTCCAGACTCTGATGAATTGAATGAATTGATTGACGCAAGCACCTGGATAATAAACGAGCATTACAGAATAATTGATACAAACAGGGAAGCCTACGCATTGTACTTGAGTTGAAATTGGTAATAACACTTGAGTAGCTTTTGGTTATTTTTGTAATTGAAATTACTAACTGAGTGCCCAGTAGACCTGTAGATAAAAGTGAGTCTGCGAATTTGATTAGTATCGCCAATTTGAGTTTGAGAGAGTGCTTTTAAAAATAATAGATTTTACTTATTTCGTTATTAAATTTAAGATGTTTTTAACGAACTCCCCCACCCCTAAATGGTCAGAAATAGGTATAAAAATTAGGACTGCCTTGTTTTATTTAAAATACGCGTAAATCGACTACTGTCAAGATCGATTGACCTCTGGCTTAGCATCAAGGAAAGAAAAAGTCAATCATTCAATTTCATGTAAGGTTTTTGAGGAAAACATAAATTTGACGGAATGTCTTCACGACTCATGGGGTTGGGTTAACCACGACGTTGTTTATTTCTCGGTCACAAACATATTTTTTCTCCTGATAAGAAAAATATAATTTTTTTTTCATAGAAAAACTCAGTCTATCCATAAATTTCCATACAATGAAAATTTTCAAAATCGTTTTCAGGTAATTTCACGTTCGCATAGATTTTCGACCTGAAACTTTTGTTGATATTCCAGCAAGCTCAACCGGTTTTTTTCTAGGCACTACAAATCATAAACTTATAAAACTATTTTTAGGCCAAAGATATCACGGGCATGTATCGGATAAAAGGGACGCCCCTTCTGAAGGATTCAATACCCTGACCACCCAAAAGCACTCATTTACGCACTCGTTTATGGGTGACCAATCCTAAAATTTTCTAAATGCACTTTTGGCGCCAAAAATAACGAAATTTTATATGTGCAGAAGACTCAAAAAGTTTTGAAAACGTATTTGTTTGCCTTTTTTTGAAGCATTTAGTTGCCGCGAAAAAAGTTATGACAAAGTTTGGTTTTTTAGTATTTTGGGTTTTGAAAAGCTAAAGAAAGGCGGGCAAACTTTATGAACTATCAAAAATTTATCTAAATAACTAAAAAGTTACAACAAGAGCACTTCATTTTTGATCTAACTGTCGATATATATTGTTCGGAAAGCTTTTAAGCATTGAGTACGAGTGTATTTCATCAAGCGATTTTCGATATTTTATTGTGGTTTTTTTTTTGCTGAGAGCACCTAAGAACGAAAAAGTTAAGCGGTACAAGTTATTTTTTTCTCAAAAGGATTCGAAATTATACTGAAGCTACCTACTTGTTTCCAAAAACTCGAAAAAAAAATGAAACCATGTACTTCCAAATATTGGTTCAAATGCAAAAATTAAGAAGAAAAAATCCAAAAACTAATAAGAATAACCAGTTGCTTTGCAAGTATTGCAGAATGTTTCGACCACGTTCTTAGAAAAACTACAAAAAAACTTTTTGCTTGAAGTTTCATTGTCAGTTTTTGTGCGTGGTGTGACTAAATAATTTCACAGACTCGCTATCCATAAATTTCCATAGAATGAAAATTTTATAATTTGCTTTCAGGTAATTTCACGTTCGCATAGATTTTCGACCTGAAATTTTTATTGATATTCCAGCAAGTTCAACTGGTTTTTTTCTAGACACTACAAAAAATAAACTTGAAAAACTAATTTTAGGCCAAAGATATCACGGGCATGTATCGGATATAAGGGGACGCCCCTTCTGAAGGATTCAACACCCTGACCACCCAAAAGCACTCATTTACGGCACTCATTTATGGGTGACTAATCCTAAAATTTTCTAAATGCACTTTCGTCAAAAATAACTAAATTTTATATGCGCAGAAAAAGTACTCAAAAAGTACTTGAAAACGTATTTTTTGCCTTTTTTGAAACATTTAGTTGCCGCAAAAAAAGTTATGACAAAATTTGATTTTATAGTATTTTGGGTTTTGAAAGGCTAAAGAAAGGCGGGCAAACTTTATGAACTATCAAAAAATTATTTAAATAACTAAAAAGTTACAACAAATGCACTTCATTTTTGATCTAACTGTCGATATATATTGTTCGAAAGCTTTAAGTTTTGAGTACGAGTGTGTTTCATCAAGCGACTTTCGAATGAATTTTTAGAGGAGTTCGTCTTCACTGGACTGAACATGAGGCACTCTTTTGAAGATGCGTCTGGTCTTGTATCCATTGCACTCCTCTGTTAGTACCATGTGGCCTATTGAGTCTACCTCCCGATACAATCGAGCAGATGGCACCTCTCCATGTTCGTGATTAAGAGTCTGCTTCAGAATATTGCCCCCTTCCAACAGTTCAAATGTAGACACGAACCTAAGATAGAGCTCGAAACTGGAGACCAGAAAAAATTTCCAGGAAAATAATGGGTGTTTCCTCTAAAATAAGCTGAGAAAGCTCAGAGTTCGCTGCATATACCCCTCCTCCCTCAATTTTTTCCATATCAAATGGAATCTAGCATGGGTTATAAGCCAGAAAATTTTAGGCTTCACTACAATTCGATCCTCGAAAGTCGATTTACAAATGAGTGTCCTTTTTAAAGTATTACCTTTTACCGTCAGGTCGAACCAAAAGTTCAGAAGAGATTTCGTCGATTTTGAAGGGACCCCACACGTATCGTAACAGACTGAGGCCAGAACGAGCACTTCGCACTATGACGTAATAGGATTCGGCCTCGTGTCGTGACTCTTTGATCCTCATGATGACCTTGAAATAAAATGCGAAATCAAATCCTTCCCTTCCATCAAAACGTTTTTGGTTGCCCAACCAGAGAGAATTTAGGTTGTTTTCAACTACAATCCACCTGAACGAGTTTTTTTCCCACATGAAAGGAGGGGTTTACCTGTGTCAGTAAAAGAGTTTGAAAGTTTTTACTTTTGGGAAATGGCATATGAGTTTAAACACCACCAAAAATGGTAGCACCACTCTTCTTACACACTATGAAAGCACAATTTACATTATGCAAAGGTTCAGTCCTTAGATAAAGTGATGATGCTAGTGACCCCATGTCTGTTTATGAATGAAAACATACCATTTTTAATCGTTAACTAAGAAAGTAATTCGCTTTTGATAGCTAATAAAGAAAGTAAAGCTGCATGTCTTCCTGTCCTCTTGAAAATACTCAAGTGTGCGGTTGACATGATTAATGCTTGTAATGTGACCTTGGCTCGTTTGATGAGGGGCTGGAAGAAGTAGTTCACCTTCCACTCACTCAGGAACCTGTCCTCGTCCCCCTCGTTCTCCAGGGGTAGCATGATCTCCCACGTTTGACAGAACTTCTCCATCCCATTTTCCCGTAGACGCATCGCTTCTTTCACTATAGTACTCTTACTGATAAGTATCTAAAATTTACTCAAGTGTATTCTATCATCGCAGTTGTAACATATGCTGAAACCGTTCCAGCTGGTTGAGAATGATGACGATATTGAGAAAATCCTAAAGCAAAGTATAACAAACAATAACAAAAAGTTGAACTGGTGGTAAAATGTGATTAAATGCATCACATTTATCTTATTTTTAAATGTCAGAGAGGACCAGATTTGAAGGTCTCATAGCAGCCCTGGGACTTTAGTGTGACGCCTCATGGATTTGGTCCGAGAATTTTACAACCAGCAACCATGATAATTTGAATCTTAAGAAAAACAAAAACTCAAAACACAAAAAAACTCAGGTGGATCAGGTGGAAGCCCTGAATGTTCCTACTGCCCTTGATGAAAAGTTTTGATAAAAAAACTGATGGCTTTATTTTTGGTCAAATATACGAACTATTCACCATGTTATTTTACACCATGTTATTTTACAAAGAGAATGTTTTGAGTACGAGTGTATTTCATCAAGCGACTTTCGAATGAATTTTTAGAGGAGTTCGTCTTCACTGGACTGAACATGAGGCACTCTTTCGAAGATGCGTCTGGTCTTGTATCCATTGCACTCCTCTGTTAGTACCATGTGGCCTATTGAGTCTACCTCCCGATACAATCGAGCAGATGGCACCTCTCCATGTTCGTGATTAAGAGTCTGCTTCAGAATATTGCCCCCTTCCAACAGTTCAAATGTAGACACGAACCTAAGATAGAGCTCGAAACTGGAGACCAGAAAAAATTTCCAGGAAAATAATGGGTGTTTCCTCTAAAATAAGCTGAGAAAGCTCAGAGTTCGCTGCATATACCCCTCCTCCCTCAATTTTTTCCATATCAAATGGAATCTAGCATGGGTTATAAGCCAGAAAATTTTAGGCTTCACTACAATTCGCTGCATATACCCCTCCTCCCTCAATTTTTTCCATATCAAATGGAATCTAGCATGGGTTATAAGCCAGAAAATTTTAGGCTTCACTACAATTCGATCCTCGAAAGTCGATTTACAAATGAGTGTCCTTTTTAAAGTATTACCTTTTACCGTCAGGTCGAACCAAAAGTTCAGAAGAGATTTCGTCGATTTTGAAGGGACCCCACACGTATCGTAACAGACTGAGGCCAGAACGAGCACTTCGCACTATGACGTAATAGGATTCGGCCTCGTGTCGTGACTCTTTGATCCTCATGATGACCTTGAAATAAAATGCGAAATCAAATCCTTCCCTTCCATCAAAACGTTTTTGGTTGCCCAACCAGAGAGAATTTAGGTTGTTTTCAACTACAATCCACCTGAACGAGTTTTTTTCCCACATGAAAGGAGGGGTTTACCTGTGTCAGTAAAAGAGTTTGAAAGTTTTTACTTTTGGGAAATGGCATATGAGTTTAAACACCACCAAAAATGGTAGCACCACTCTTCTTACACACTATGAAAGCACAATTTACATTATGCAAAGGTTCAGTCCTTAGATAAAGTGATGATGCTAGTGACCCCATGTCTGTTTATGAATGAAAACATACCATTTTTAATCGTTAACTAAGAAAGTAATTCGCTTTTGATAGCTAATAAAGAAAGTAAAGTTGCATGTCTTCCTGTCCTCTTGAAAATACTCAAGTGTGCGGTTGACATGATTAATGCATGTAATGTGACCTTGGCTCGTTTGATGAGGGGCTGGAAGAAGTAGTTCACCTTCCACTCACTCAGGAACCTGTCCTCGTCCCCCTCGTTCTCCAGGGGTAGCATGATCTCCCACGTTTGACAGAACTTCTCCATCCCATTTTCCCGTAGACGCATCGCTTCTTTCACTATAGTACTCTTACTGATAAGTATCTAAAATTTACTCAAGTGTATTCTATCATCGCAGTTGTAACATATGCTGAAACCGTTCCAGCTGGTTGAGAATGATGACGATATTGAGAAAATCCTAAAGCAAAGTATAACAAACAATAACAAAAAGTTGAACTGGTGGTAAAATGTGATTAAATGCATCACATTTATCTTATTTTTAAATGTCAGAGAGGACCAGATTTGAAGGTCTCATAGCAGCCCTGGGACTTTAGTGTGACGCCTCATGGATTTGGTCCGAGAATTTTACAACCAACAACCATGATAATTTGAATCTTAAGAAAAACAAAAACTCAAAACACAAAAAAACTCAGGTGGATCAGGTGGAAGCCCTGAATGTTCCTACTGCCCTTGATGAAAAGTTTTGATAAAAAAACTGATGGCTTTATTTTTGGTCAAATATACGAACTATTCACCATGTTATTTTACACCATGTTATTTTACAAAGAGAAACTTTTTGCATCTAAAACTTATTACTAACTACAAATTGCTTGCTTCAATTCGGTTTGAATTATTCAATTAGCAGCTAGCGCTGTAATAGGACGAAAAAAATTGCAATTTAATTTTCCAAATAGGCCCAAATGCTGAATAGGCCCGAATGCTAAATAGGCCTAAATAGACCCAATGTTGACCAAAAGTTGCCAAAAGTTGCCAAAATTGACTAGCCTCATTTCAATTTTTAATTTTTGTGATCTACCGCTTGCGCGTGTTTTAAGGTTTATAGTGCGTTAAATATCCCAAATTGACCAAATTAGCAATTTTCAAGCCAAATAACTTCACAAAATTAATCACAGGTGATTGTTTTTATATTTGAGCTCTTAAAAAACATCCGTTTTCAGATGTTATAAAAAGTTTTTCAAAACACTTCGTTGAAAAACCAGAAATCGACCGAATAGAAAAAACCACTCCAAGCCCAAATTTTCCGGACTTTCTTCGAATTTCGGAAAAACAAAATTGCTCTTATATGATGGCAAAGCCTTGAATAACTCCACCGCCATTTAAGTGATCTCTAATCATTCCTGAAGTGATCTTCAACCATTCCCTTAGTTTTCGCCAAAATTAAGCAGACAACTTCAATAACATTTGTTCTACGAAATCCGAAATCAAGCAAAAACAGTCGGTTGCAATGCAAGTAACATAAAATGTACCAGTCACGGATAACTATGTGATAAAAAAAACGTTTTTTGGAACATTTCCATTCATTGTTAGAACGGATAGCGGGTAGACTTTTTTCGAACCACAAAATGGGAATTGAAGTCTCAGTTAGATTTTCTGGACAGCGGGGACATAATTTTTAAAAGTTTGCATTGCAACTCAAATCACGACAGGAATTCGAAATTATATAAGCGCCGATCCTTTACAAGGTATTCTTTGTAAATATCATTTTTAATTTTGCGTGAAAATAATCTAAGAAAACTTAAAGTTAAATGATTGTCCTGAATTATCGGAGCACTATGAGAGGCTGGTGATTGTCTCAAAACAAATTAAGAACCACAATAAACGTACTGGAACCTGATCTAAACTACATTTTATGATTGGATAAATTAGATATTTTACCAATGTAAAGTATTTAATATTAACCAATCATGATCCATCTAACTAACAACCCACTTATTTGTAAGTGCTGAAGTTACTTGTAATTTCAGCACCAGAGAGATTTGAATTTAACTTAGAAATTAGTTGGACTCTCCCGAGCACTTCAGCAGCCGCAATAAACCAGTATACCCTAGATCTATTGAGCCTAGCAGAGACTAGTTAAACAACCTGAGACTAGATAGTATAAGAGTAAGATTAGGATCGGTATTAGACTAAGAAGTTGCACGAATCTATCCGGCCGAAAATAAGATAGCGTGACGAGCAGACGGTGTACCCTATCCGAAATTACTCTATGAGTTATACACTCCAGTCCTAACTCATCTGGTGCGACCATAAGTCTCGAACAAGACCTTAATAGCTTAGAATTAACCAAAATAGATTAGAAATTAGACAAAAACATTTACAAAATGTTATACGACAATAATTTAATCGAAATGTCTCTACGACTCAATAGATCAGAGCCAATATTCCGAACCATAACAGAACTACCCGGAATTGGAAGAAGACCTCGAACCAGAGACGACATACGACAAAGTAGAAACTTGCCATATAGCTATATGATAGTTAGGCAAAAACCAGAACAAACTTTTATATTTAGAATACTACTAGCAATGAATTTAGATTTTCATTTGCAAACATAAGAGCTTGAAGTTAATCTTCAAAATCATTTCAGGCGCTAAACAAAATTATTAATATACAATAACGATTGATAAAAAGATCTAAGATCGTTTTCCTAAAACTCTGCAGTAATATACAAAACATGTTTGAAAAATATTTATTGAAAAATAAAAAATAAAAATTAGTAGCATGACAATAAATGGTTAGTAATCATAAATCATCCTGTTGTTCCAGCTCCATCACCTAAAACATAACAGCAATCATAAACCCACTAATATCATCAAAACACTAAATCTTTCCTTTACACACATTTAAAATTTTATTAAAACTTAAATTCACTTAATTTTAAAACCAGATCATCAAGGCTTATCCTTGGATCTTAAATCATTTTCTACTTAATTAAATTTCAAATTTGATCATCAAGGCTTATCCTTGGATCAAACAGAACAACTTTGTTCTCCCCCACCCACTTAATTAGTGTCTAACGACCTCAAACGTCGATTCACTACCCAACCCTTTCTAAAGACCTAAGACTAATAGAAATTTTTAAACAAAACTAATCATTCAAATTAGGATAAACAGTGAAGAACTTCGGTTATTCATCCTTCACTTGACCCCCCCTCTTAACAGACCCAGGATAAATCTTAGACTTAGTAAGTTTAAAATAGTATCTAACGAACTACTCGCGTTCTAATTATACCTGAACCTTGTGGATCGATTTACTATTCTCCAACCCTTGAACACAATCACTACCCCTAAGTAAGATTAAGTAAGTTAACACCTTAACTTATACTAGCCACGAGAAAGTAAAAAATCATTCTTCGGAATCGATATACTTTTCTCTCCAACCCTGAACAAATAAACCCAGGTTAAGCTAACCAAAAAATCGTAAGAACTAACAGTTTAGGAAAATAGAAATCATTTAACAACCTTTTGCATCCGTCATCCTAAACCTTATGTCATTTAAAAACCTAGGAAATAAACAAACAATCGTTTTACACAATTGTGAAATAGATAACAAAAAATACGACCTTGTAATCACACCTCATACACAAACAGTTGGATACATTCGAACAAAACGACAAACACTAAAAAGAAAAATAATAACGAAACAAAGACAAATAACACGAAAAAGATTTTCAAAAAATCGAAACGCATTTTCAGAATCAGAAACCAACAGTTTAGACGAACTTTACAAACTAAAAGAATCAATAGATAAAAATTGCCCACTTCACGATCAATTATATTTTTCTGACTCAGAAACAACTTCAAATTCATCAAAAAGAGGAAAAAGAAGAATAAAAAAGCAGTATAAACACAAACCAGTACATTTATACAATTGGAATCAACCAATTCGACACATTAATAATTACATATTAACAGTCATCGAACGAAAAAATGAGCTCAACGCACACCCCAGGTGACGAAACCCCAGATGATGATGAAATCTTTCCTTTTATAATAGATGCAACCACTGATAGAGGACAGCATATATTTTGCAAAAATTTACTATTAAATTTATTTGAACCCGGAATCAGTCCATGTAAAACAGAGTTCCCAGATGTAAAAATCAAAAGACAAATCATAGACCACTACTTAAAAGATATATGCAACATAACACAACAGTATGGAATCTACTCCATAGAATTCACCTCACCAAACCATAATAATAGAAAATATACAATTCAAACAGACGATCTTGATTTAGAATTTTCAAAAGTTTTTTCAGAATATATAAAAAGCATCCAATATCATAACTCACAAAGAGCAAACTCCATATTCACCAATGAAGTTTTCGCAATAATATATAGTTATATTTCGATATTAGAAAACGAAATCCCAATAACAAATGTCTCACCGACAGAAACATCTAAACATTTAAGAGTACGACATGAAATCACACTACTCTCTAGTTATTTAAACATCATTAAAGAAAATTTCACGAAAGACGACGTTTCACAACATACAAAACACGATCTACAAAAAATTTTGGCATGGTTCATAATAGATTATTTCACACACAATATTGATTTAATTGCACAAGCAAGAAAAAATTTTAGACCCCAAAACTCGAACGATGATACCGCTATCACAGAACAATCAGATTATGTTTGGGACCCCGAATGGTCTCATCCCGCCTTTATAAGCTTCCCACAATCAATCTCAAGTCAAGCAATAAGTACGATATCTTACATAAGAGATTATGTAAAAATAATACCATTCACCATTGATGCAACACCATTAAACTATAATACATTTTTGCCCGATACACAAAATAATAGTTTAAACTCTACAGTCATACACAATGAAAACCTCAATGGAACTAGGAATCTTACTCAACAAGATATCCAGACACCATCACACTTCATAAATGAAGAAATTGTACACACAACAACTACACAACAAAGTATTTCACCAATACGCCCAAATTTAACAACACCAAGAAATACAAATCCTTCACAAACACAGGTAACCTTACAATCAACCGTTAAACCTTCGGTTGCCCCTAAATATTCACATATGGATTACCAAACATACAGACCCATGACAATACCATCAAAAACACGCAAAACATTCACTAGAAACAACTTTACAGACCATAATTATAATTATACACATCCATCAAAAACATATAATCAACCACAAAGAAATTTTAACCAATATACAAGATCTCGAAATTGGGATAACCCAATGACCCAACCTAATTCAATAAATTTCCAAACAAATCCTCCACAGGATCACAGTGAAAATTACCCATTTTTTCAACAAAAAAAAAATAAAAAACAGACATCTTATCAAATGGATTATTTATCCTCAGATGATGATTTCTTACAACCAGATATATTTGCACCAAATACTCAAGAATATCGTAGACAAGGAATACAGAGAACACGTACAAATCATAGAAATTTTTCTCCACAATCAATAGATGCACAACATCAACAACCAATTCAACAACAAAATCTAATAAATACACAATCTTTTCAACCAATTCAACAACAAAATCCAATGACTGCACACTCGTATCAACCATCACAAATGCAAAATGAAATACCACTCCCATATTATCTCCAACAACATGAAATAACAAGAAACCAACTTTCAAATTT